GGGGTGCAAGGCCACCCGGTGCCACCCGCAGGCATCCTTGCTCTGGCCAGGAGGGAGGCAGACAGACAAGAGGTGGCCGAGCTAGCCCGCCCCTCCCCCGCCTGCCCCTCCCCTCTCCCCACTAGACGCAGCTGCACGGGCTCCTCCTCTCTCTCAAGGTCATCTCTCTGCCCAGCAGGCTCTGTGTCCTCCAGCAGTCGCCACATGCTTCCTCCTGTGGTGGCCAGCAGTTTGGACGAGGGTGTCCAGGAGGAGGGAGAATGCCTGTTTCTTTCCCCAGGGCTCCCCTGTCCCCTGTCTCCCTGGGTGGAGAAGGAGAAGCTGAGACACCACCTCTGTCCTGCTCCCACCCAGGCTCCTCATCTTCAGCCCAGTCGGTGCAGACGTGGCCAAACCCATGGCCCTGGTCACATGTATGCATCCCCCAAAGTATGCACACAGAAAAGTGCCTGCTCCCCCTGCCTCCCCCCACCCTCCTCTGTCCCCTTTCCCATCTTTTCTTCTGTGCCCAGCACCCGAGCAAACTGCTCAGCCTCCTCCTGGCCCCGCCAGCGTCTTCTCCGCTTGCATGTGTCTAATACAAGGTTCAGACACAGGAGGGAGTGGGGGGTGTTTCAGGCCGTGGCCATGTGCAGGGAGCTGTGGTGCAGGAGGGAGCACCGCGAGGAGGGTCTAAAGACCTGGGCTTAACCAGCCCACGCCCTGACTTCCCGAGAGGCCTGCAGCAGAGCAGCACCTGGAGTTACCGCCTTCCCCTCGGTGAGCCCTTGGTCAAATTGTGTTGCCCAAAGCCCACCCAAGCCCCAGGGCTGTGGTGCCCAGCCCACTCTGCTGCATTTCTAGGCTAAGAACAGACCAAAGCCTCTCCTTCTGGTCCTGGTCGCACAAACCAACATTGACCAAGAGATACCAAACGGCAAAGGAAGGTTAAATGGAACAGGGACACACACGTCCAGTATCCTCTGCTGAGGTTTCGGATTCTCAATCCACCATGCCAGCCTAAAACTGGCTCAGCTGCCGGCCTTCCCGACCTCCTGCTCCCCTTGCAAGGGGACTATTCCAGCTCTCCACGCCCATCTGGACCCACCCAGATGGGATGTGTGCTATACTCACAGGAGAGAGACAGAGAGAAGAAAGCATTCGGTGGGGGAATGATGACACCCAGTCCCGACCCTTCATCTCTCCCTCCTTTCAGGGTTTTGGACATGCACACATGCTTGATGTGTCTCTCAAGCCACGGAGTCTGGGACTTGAACCATGTGGCTGGCCATGTAGGATCCGGCTGTCTTAACCACCAGGCCGACAACTCTTGAATCACACACTGTCCATAATTGCTGTCCCCACCACGACTACCAATGAGCAGTCTCAGCAGAGGTCCTCCTCAACCAAAGGGCACCCACATCCCCCGACAGGAGGCAGCACTCTCCCGGGAGCATCCCCCGACAGGGGGCAGCACTCTCCCGGGAGCTACAGAAATGCCTCCAGCTCTAGTGGCCCCCTCCTGGGAGAGAGGCAGGAGGGCAGGGTTGGTTTTTTTTAGAGGTTTTTTGCTATAGGGCGCGTGCACTTGCCAGACAGACAGAGAGAGACAGAGAGACAGAAAGTGAGAAATCACTCCCCAGGGGGGATGGCCACGCCGCAATTTTCTCCTCCAATCTCCTCTTGGGATCTTGGGCACGCATGCACACACGCCCGGCATGAGTTTTAAGCCACCGGGTCCGGGACACGAACCGTGGTCGACTACATGGGAGTCCAGCGACATAGCCATTACGCTAACTGCTGGTCCCAGAAGGCC